ACCTGGATTCCACCTTGTGGACCAGTCTGGAGCAAAACAATCGCTCGATTGCAGCCCAATTAGCCGATTTCGACGGGCTGTAATACGCCTCCTTGTAACGCCCATTCTGAATAATAAGTTTAAAATGGGACCGGAGTTTGTCTGACGTTCGTTTAGCCGTCGGTGTGCCTTCGACGAGAGCCGCAATTTCGGTGTCGTACAACAGTGCACACAATAGATGTTGACTGAGCCGGGTTCGACGCTGTGGATTACAAAATTTAAGAACGTCGTCCCCCGCGTAATTGTGTGCACGTAGTAATTTCCAATCATCAGCGTTGTCAACTAACGGCGCAAGTTTTATTTGATCGCTGCGGTGCTGTAAGTTGGCGATCCATCGATCAATCCATCGTTGCGTGGGGCGATCCATGGGCTGCTCACGATACTTCCTGAGCCCATCCTCCAAACAAGCACGTCGTCTGTCAGTCATCCATTGTTCGATGACTGAAACATCCAAAATCTGCAGTAGTTCCCCTGGAAAGATAAAATTCTTAACATTCCATAGTAGTGGGTCCGATGCGTGCCTGGCTACTCTCTGCCACTCTGTCTTAGAGCTCCTAGCGGTGGGGAAAGGGATGTTGCCGGGATACGGCCACTCCTGAGCTAATGCCTCCCACGTTGCCGCCCAATCATCCCGATCAATGCGCTCATAGTCCTCAGCCTTTGTGATCGACGTCGAGGTGGTGTCGTTCCGTCCTTTCTAGATATGTGCTTGCTCCTCACGACACCCCCGGTCGACACCCGTTCATCTGGGGAAGAATTATGGCTGCGTTTTCGGGCTACATCGGAAATTGATCGTATCCCGGCTGGAGGCGTAGTTGGTAGTGCCGGTAAGACCGTTTGTCTGCCCATCAAAGCTAAGTTTTGTTCAGCTGTAGGGTGGCGACACACTAAAGCGCGACAATTTACCTCCAAGCTGCGACGAAGGTGCTGCGTTTCAGCCGAGCCTATGTCATCCGCGCGTAACCCTGAAATTTCTTGGGACGAAGGGCCACTGTGGCGATCGAGAATTTGCCCAATTCTGCTAGCCGAGTGGAGCTGGGATTGCCAAAATTTTAATTTGTCATGCGTAACTTGCTGGTTTTGAATAAAAGATAATTCAGCCTTCTCGTCTTCCCATCCACGTAATATTGCTGCAACCTGTTGTTGCTTCGTCATGTCCAGGGTATTCACTGACGTGATAACCAGTGTACTAGATCGCGATATTGTAGCGGCTCGTTAACCGTAAAAAGCACGTGGAGATCGTGTTGAATATCGGGATGCACCGTATAAGCTTTTAACGCTGCCCAAACCTCGTCTGGAGCACCAGTCCAAGTTTCTGGGTCCCATTGTCCATCCATAAAATCGTCCACCGGAGCCGTCCACGTCACGAGTTGTTGTAAAGCTGTGGTGTCGGGTGTCACCGACGGTTCAGTGGACTTTCCATTCGCCAGAATCGTTACTTGAGTCTCCTTACTGTCCACCTCCTCTTCAAAGTTCGGAAGCTGACTGGTCCTACCAGTATGTAGAAGCGCCGAGTAATGGCGCCCCAGAAATGCAGCAAAAGTGGTAGTTGTCCGGGATTCTCGATCTTGTCTGCCACCACTTCGTCAATCAAATTCATCATTGACAGTGTATATTCCGCAGCTGTCTCAATAACTCGCCGATTTCGTGTGACCGTAGTCGGAATAAATTTCTTGCGCCGCCATCCCGGTTTGGGGCCCTCTGACTGCTGTAGAACATAGATTTTTTCTGCAGAAAATTGGCTGCCATGCCGACCGTTTCACTTCCTCCCCAAGTGTCCTCACTAACTTCGACTGTTCTGTCGGAGGAGCTGCTTGCAAAATCCTCAAGGTACCACCGCATTTGAGTGGCCGACTCTTGCCGGGTCATGGAGGGCCATCCTCTCTTGACATTCGCGAGCACATGTACTCTATGGTCATGTGCAAGTTGCCCTTCGAGATCAATCAGCCCTGTATATTTTATGCCTCGCTTTAGGCTGGCAGTAAGTAACTCAAGGGTTTTGTCTGGCCCATCCAAAATTGCTTCTGCTGTCGCCTGCGCCAGTGCCATAGCCATACAGTTTCCGGTCGCAGGCGTGGCGACCGATCGGACTCCTAGTTGAAGTTCCGCCTCTGCCAATGTAACTGGTGAAGATGTTGATCTAGCGCCCAATGGTAGCGCCGGAAGTTTCATGGACTCCGTTCCAGTGACTAACTTGTAAAATGCCGTTCTCTCTTTCCGTTTATGCGTGAGGATAACGGGATCCGTTGCTATCGGTGCTGGACCGCGCAATGTCCCTGCCGATTGTCGGTGCTTTTCCTCAGATGTGAGAGGCAATTTCCCAGTGGGCCCATGCCCGTCCTGAGAGTTCTTTGTTAAATCGACCACGGTTTCTTGCACAAGCTGAGTCTCGCTATTACTCTCTGGGTTAGCTTTACTTTCCAAATCGTATTCGTCCTCAATGAGCACCTGGTATACTTCGGACGTGGGTGCAGAGGCCGCATTTGTAACCATTTGTTTATCCCACTGTGACCGTCCCCCTTTGGTTGACTTCGTTAGCCACGGTTGCTTGGGTGGAGGGGCCGGTTCCGGTTGCAGATGGATATACTTTGATCCTTGTTCAGCCTGAGGAGTGCTGCTGGTGATGCGTACCACTGGTACCCCTGACGTAGACTCTGTAACGTCGGCGACCCGTGTCGGCGTTACTGCTGCCTGGGCTGCCCCTTCCGCCTCCATCTGAAGCTCAAGTCGTTGGGCCGCCATAGCTTTTATTTCTGCAAGACTGGAAAAAGGTTTTGCTAAATCTGCGAGATCCTGAACGTCCTCTTCAGTCACCTCAATGCCTCCGGGACCCCGCAGTTGGTCTTCTGTGAATCGACAGCGAGCTAGGGTGTGATCTAGGTTACCACACTGCAGGCATTGAATGCGATGACCGACATTGTGGTGTTTGACGATAATGGTGTGCCAAACCAAAGTATTCTGACCACACCATTTAAAAATGTGGGACAACCTGCCAGCTTGAAAGCGACCTTCCAAATTGTGGACGTCCGAGAATCCGGGGTATGAGTATCCAAATTTTCCATATCGAAATCAGTCGGAATCTTCGCCTTCAAAAAAGCTGCAATGCGACCGATATCGTTGAATCGGGTAAGGTTGTGTAGCTGCACCGTGTATTCCACCCGTCGCCCGGTAGCTGTGCCATTAAGACTCTGCTGTCGGAGCCAAACCGATCCCTTCTCTGGCCTGTGGGCATTTTGAAGCCGATACACGCCGCCATAATACGGCACTCGCACCTCTTGGTGCTGTTCCGCCGTTTCCCTAGTAAAAAAGTAGAAATGGATTTACTTAATTACTTGGTCATAGCTAATTGTCTTCGTCTGACTTAGCATTCGATGGAGTGCTTGAAGATTAATCCGAGCTAGTTCCGCCGATTCCAAAATTCTTTCCGTGATTGCTTTGGTAGTCTGCCTGCTCGCCTTGACCACACGAGATTTATCCAAGTGTAAAATCAATTCACCTTCCACTTGAGCTTGGATGGTGCTATACAAACGTAGCCTCTCCTCACTCTTTAGAACATGCTTGAGAAAATCAGGCATGCGACGACACGCCACCGTGCCTTCTACTAATCTGACGATTATCGCCCATTCATCGTCGGTACCCTCCCGTACGTATTGTTGCCGTGCTGGGTATGCTAGTGCTGCGCACAGCGCTTTCAATCGTTCGATTTCTTCGCACGAAAACTTCGCGGGATCGAACATAAAATTCTTAAAAGACTGAGGACCTGCGCGACTCGGGGGCCGACGTGGTGACGACCCTCCACGTTGAACTACTTGAGTCCACTGATTTAGAACCGGGGCGTGTGCCCACTTGTGCCTGCTAGCTAGTCGTCGAACAATCTTCTTAAATGCCCACTTTGTGGTCAGCAGCTCATGCGTGATGGACTTCGCCATTATTTTCCATTCCACAAAACTTTCTTTACCCTTGACAAAAACTTGTTCGAACAGGCCCAATAAGCTAGCTGCCTTTGCCTCACTCAGGGTAGGAAAACGTTTCCTCTCGGTAGGCAGTGTCTCTGATTTACACGGAATTGACGTGTAAACGTCCGCAAATAGCTGACGCACTGTCTGGCACCATGCGTTGACCTGTCCTACGTTAGGCGAGTCGATCATGTCTTCCACCAGTGCCGTAAACATATCTTCTGACGATGCGCGCAGCGGTACTGGCGACGGCGCGGCTGGTGCTTTGCCGGTGTGTGCTGCCTGAGTTGGGGCAACAGCTTTACCAGCACTATCCATGGTACCACTAGACCTCCGTGTAGCCGTTGACTGCCTACTTGAACCGGGCGGACCCTCCGCTGCCACTGGCGCTTCTTGTTGAACGTGACTGCTGCTCGACTCTTTTACCAAAAGAGGCTTGGAGGTAGCTACACTGCGAGCTTTTCCCTGTAACACTTGGTCCGTAGAGGACTTGTCGTTGGTATCGAAGCCGCCAGGGTCTAAGGCACTACCCGTGATTGTAGCCATACTTCCTTGGTGGTTAGAGCTTTAATTCTCCATGATGTCAACGGAGCTCTGCCCGTTACCATGGCCGTTCCCTGTCGATGTGGCCGAGCTGGCCGTGTCTATCCCTCCTCCCGGAGGAGGCAGGTGAAAAGGCACCATCGCTCTCGCTGTCGGTGACGTTTGAGCCAGTAAAGACCCGTTCCTTTTATACTCCACCGTGATCAGATGTAATCACTGCGCCGCAGATTGGGGAGTGCCTAAACCGCCTTCTCAACATTTTCATGTTTACATCTGTTTAGTAATCATCGTGTACGACAAAATTAGCACGGCGACACCTAGGATTTAAGAAGCAAAGACCCGTTAGATTAAGCAAGTTGAAGTGGTTTAGCCAATCAATGATCGTCTTCAGCTCCCAGTACTTTGTTTTTATTCTTTTCGGCAGTTTCCGAACGTCGTTTTAAACCTCTTTTTATCCTAAAAATGACCCGTTCAATTCGTGTATTATGTCTACATGGTTGGCGAACAAATGGTACCATTCTCAAGCATCAAACCTTCGCTCTACGTCAAGAATTTGGGTCAAAAGCTGAATTTCTATATGTAAATGCACCATGGAACGCATCGGGTCCTGCTCCGGAACTGGTGCGTTCTTTTTACGGCGAGATGGGACCGTTTTATCAATGGTGGGACGCCATTAAGCACGAAGACAGCGAGATATTCCATTACGAAGGTTTTGAACTGTCGTTGGACTATTTAATGGGTCAGATTCAAGCTTTAGGGACTGTAGATGTCGTCTTGGGGTTTTCTCAAGGGGCCGCTATGACCACGTTATTAACAGCGCATTATCTCTCAATCTATGGCTACGTGCCTTGGAAAGCCTGTGTACTGATAGGAGGATTCTATCCTTCTAATGCTGAGACGAAGGAGCTGTTGGATGCCGCTAACACTTCAGTCGATGGGGCTATTGACGTGCCATCCGTGCATGTGGTGGGAAGAGCGGATCCATTAGCCCTTAATTCTGACAAATTGGTCCAGAGCTTTACGAGGATCAGACGAGTTAAGTTTGAGCACGAGGAAGGCCACAAGTTTCCGTCCCCGCTCAAGTACAGGACATTGTACACTGATATTGTTCAGGAGGTGCTGGCCATGACGGGTCAAGCATGGAGGTAAGAAGAGAAAAAGAAGGGTGTCGACTATACGCCAGTAGAAGTCTTTTTGCCTTGATACATGCGTGGTCACCTCTTATCTCATACGCCTTTCAACACTCGAACAAGCTCTTTGCACTAAATTTATCGGAACGAGGGACCGTGTATTATCTCTATAAGCGAAGGATGTGAGTAATCACCACACGCCGATTTATAATGCACAATACATTCGTGCTTGCTCGAGCCTCATCAACTTCTAAAAACTCGCAAAAATCTCGTAAAAATGCGATGCGATACGCACTTTTATTTCGACTCTAGCTGTTGTCTTCACCTCAACAAACTCGAGGCGTCACCATCTACTCAATTGTCCTGTGATTACCGTGGTTGCTACGCCCGCCTTTTTCCCTCCCCTGCTTTTCTACTGTACTTCGCACTAGCCCATTCCGGAAGTTCTGGTAGTTGTACCTCTTCATCTTTTCCTAATTGTTTGTACAAATCTTCAATGTACATGTGCTTAATCAGTCCCGGTGGTCGAGCCACCTTGAAAGCTTCCAGAGCTTCTGTCACCGAGCAATTGAGCCTCTTCACCATGTACGTGACAACGAGATATCCCGTTCTATTGAGTCCATGAGTGCAATGCACTGCAATAGCTCCTTCAGGCTCGTTGGCAATAAATTCATCGACAATTTTCATAAATTTGGCCACATCTCGAGCTTGGGGGGGACCCCTGAACCCTTCAATCTCAATCTTGACATATTTTACTCCAGAATCCTGAAATTCATTCTTTCCATTGTAATATTTGAAAGTGTTTGTGAGGTCAATAATCATCTTAATATTAAGATTTTGGTCTTGTTGAGTGGCTAAAAAGTCCGTTGGGGTCCAAATTTCGTCCTTTTTTGTCTCAAATTGGGGCAAATATTTGGCATCCAGAGGGACACGAAGAGGCACAAATCGTGACGTGCCTATAAATGTACCCATTTTGGCCACATCGACCCAATTATCGGGAATCCGGTCCTTCTTTTTACCCATTTCACGACGTTTACCGCGGCGTCGACGACGGTTTTGATGCGATTTTTTCGATTCAGAGCGATGCAAAGAATCGTCACGAGATGGTGAGCGACTGCGCTGGCAGTGGGGACGACGGGAAGGCGAGTTACTACGGCTGCTGCCTTGGAGCATGGAGGGGGGGGGGTCAACTATAGAGAAAATAGGATGACCCAATTTAAGTTTGTAATTATGTACGGATTTTATGCATGAGATAGAAAATTGTTCTAAATGCTAAAAACATATGTAAACAAGGAACACTCCACGTACTAAACATCATTTCTTTTGTGTTAGTAATCATTTGTCAACCCAAATCACTTCCCAATTCGCGCCTTCGAGCAACAACGGCCAAGAGACGAAGACCTTCAAAGAGCCGGTCAACCGGCTCCCTCCGACCAGGGCGGGAAGTCCCTCCAACGGGAGGCCCAGGATAAGAGGGGGAGGTATTCCCTCTGCTGCGTGCGCTATGGGGGGCAAGCGCAGCGTGCGAACCGGAAGGGGAGCACCAACCCTGTTACCCCCGGGGGGAGAGGATCGACGACCGCGGTTATCATTCCCTCTTTCTCCAATAGTTCCTGCTATTCTACGTCAGCCTTCAAGCCGCCGATTCGATCGCCGAGCGCGAATCTCGGTCCCACGAAGTGAACTTGCCAAGAACGTGAATTGATCGGCCTCGTCCAGGTGCATCAGCGGTCGATCGGGACTGATCGGTGTGGTGCCCGGCGCTTGTTGCGATCATTGAGCCACTGTTTACACCTCGGGCTGGATACCCGATTCCACGTGCCCTTTTCGGAGTGTCCCCCGTGACGCCCGACGTCTCGAGCCAGCAGATTGAGCCAGCGAGGCGAAGAATGACGAAGTCCTGGTAGAAGCACTCCAGACATCTTACCAATCCTTAATGTTTGAAATAGACGGTCTGTTCTTCTCTTCTCTTCTCATTTGTCAACCCAAATGATTACCACACGCATAAAAACCATACGCGAATCAATGTGTTACGCGATAAAAAGTACCAAATGAGAAGAAAAGAGGATTATAGCTGTTAAGCAAAGACACACATTCATTACTGTGTTACAGTCAGCAAAAAGCGCAAAATTGCGTGCCGTGGCTGTTGTGACAAGCACGATCCGTGTCTTTATAGGCAACTTTTCCAAAGCCGCGTTACCGACGAGAACGATAATCGTGACCACTGCTCTGTTTGCGCTTGCGACTTCTGCTAGGACTGCGACTTCGATTCCGTCTCACTCGGTCCCGACTACGGCTTTGATGTCGTCGATCGTGTCGTTCGCGGCCCGAGCTATGATGTCGATCACTTTGTCGCTCACAATTCCGGCTCCTTTCCCGCTGTGATCGCGCCGAGTCCCTTTCGCTTCGTGACGATTGCCGTCTGTCAGGACTACGACTTTGCTGGCGGACAGAAGCTGGTTTCGATCGACGCAAAGAAGATGCGACTTCTTCTTCTTCCACAAGCTTGAAATTGTCGGCACCACGCGACTTCAACCTCAAATTACCACCGAGCTCAAGACGTCTACCACCGCCATATTTGCCACCACGGCCGCCTCCTTTCCTGTCACTAGCAACCGCGTCACCATCACGCTTGCTCGTCTTCTCCCACGGTCGTCGTTTGACCTTATTCCACAACTTCGAAACCGACTGACTAAAGTCCACCTTGATGCGACGGTCATCCAGTAGAACATTATTCATTTTGAAATACGCCTCTTCACAATGTCGCCGGTCTGTAAATTCCACAAATGCAAAACACAAGGAATCGCCCGTCTTTTGGTCTCGAATTACTTCGGACTTGCACGTTCCAAATCGACAAAAAGCCATATCCAGATCCGCACTTTCCGTCACGGGGTTCAGCTTGCACACAAACAGCACTTCTTCCGGTGGTTTCACGTCTGCATCTGGCAGGTCGCCAATCATCTCGAGCACCACAGCACGTGACTTGGCTTCTTTCTCCCGGACCGCCTTCTCAATCTCTTGTTCCGTCCTACCTTCATTGTCGTCCAATTTCTCATCCGCTGCAAGTCTTGGTTCAACCTGCTCTTGCGCTGGTCTTTCTCGAGTCGGTGACGATGGAGGAATAAGCTCCTCCAGTCCTTTTGGATCTGGAAATGGATCGTCCAACACGTACGTGTGTTTAATTCGTACATCTTGATATGGTCGATAGTCTTTATCCACATATAAAGCATTAATCTGGTCTAAAACATCCATTCCTTCGGCCACTTCACCAAAAATCGTATGCTGCTCATCTAAATATGCCATATCGTCGGCTCTTGTGGTTAGGTATACTTGTGATCCATTCTGATTGGCCAAACCAGACGCCATTCCTAAGAGGCCCCTGCGGTCTTCATGAGACCGTCTGATTGGCTGCGGCAATTCGTCTTCAAAAAATCGGGCTTGGGCTCCATATAATTGGCCATAAATCGAATCGCCACCATTCCCCGTAGCCGTTGGATCTCCTGTCTGAACCATAAAATTCTCTTGAACATTAAAGAATAAACAGCCATGATAGTATTTTGTCTTGCATAATTTTAGGAAATTCGTACACGCCAATGGACAATCGTCCACATATAGGTCCAGCACTAGCGCTCCGAGCGTGGTCTCTACTAACACCGACATTCAAAGAATGACTTCTTATTGGCTAAAAAAGAAAGGAATGGATAACAGGTGGACCACAGTATCATACGTGGGATACACCAATTTACAAACTAATCTGTGATTGGTTGAAATCAAGCTACATTTTAGCTGCAACTTTATGGCCATCAAAATAATGTTAGCACGGCGTGGATACGTCCAGCGTCTTGTTGTAAGGCGTATAGTGCGCTCTACAAATGGTTTTTCTCGCGATATGATAGCGCATTTAAACGTACGTTCTTCTGCGGTTCTATCAATGTCTTCAACTTCTTCTATTTCATTGTCTAGCGAGCTCCATCAACGTGTAAAGCTATTACCTTTGGCTCCTACTTACGATCCTACAGTTGTAGAGCAAGGATGGCAAAATTATTGGCAACAAGTATTGGAATCAAAACCACAGATAAAGAGCAATGCTAAAAATAAGGTGTTTACAATGCTATTGCCACCACCCAATGTCACTGGAGCTCTTCACATTGGCCATGCATTAACCATTACGATACAAGATGCAATTGCTCGATGGCATTGCATGCGAGGCTTTGATGTTCATTGGATTCCTGGACTGGATCATGCCGGTATTGCTACTCAAAGTGTCGTGGAGAGAAAGCTGAAGAAGGAGCAAAATGTATCTCGCTATGATTTAGGACGAGAAGCTTTTGTGAAAGAAATATGGCATTATAATGACCAATATGGAGGCAAAATTATGAGCCAAATTGACCATTTAGGCGCCATCGTAAAAAAGACGCAGCCGTTTTTTACACTGGATAAAAAACGATCCGAAGCCGTGGTGACTGCTTTTGTCAAATTATATGAAAAAGGACTGATCTATAGACGGAGAAGAATGGTGAATTGGTGTCCGACGTTACAGACGGCACTTTCAGATATTGAAGTGGATACTGAACAAATTGAAAAAGCGACGACAAAAATGTTGCCTGGAAGAGAAAAATTGGTGGAATTTGGTGTCATGCATCGAATTCGGTATCGAGTTGCAGACTCGGACGAGTTCTTGGAAATCGATACGACAAGACCCGAAACGATTTTCGGGGATGTCGCGGTCGCGGTGCACCCAAAGGACATGAGGTATACACAATTCCACGGAAAGTACGTGATTCATCCGTTTTCGCGTGAACGTATTCCGATCGTCACGGACGATGTGCTGGTCAATATGGAGTTGGGTACCGGTATGGTCTTAGCTCTTGCTCAAATTGTTTTGGGTAATGTATGAAGCATATCTGAAACTGACATCACATTTGTACTGCCACATTTGATGCGTAGGTGTTGTAAAGGTTACTCCAGCGCACGACCCTAAGGACTTTGAGTGTGGCCGTCGCCACGGTCTGCCTGAAATTGAGGTAGTTGACAAAGATGGAAAGTTATGCGGCAACATCGACCAGCGATTTGTTGGGATGGATAGGTTTGATGCACGCCAACGTGTTGTCGAAGAGTTGCAGCAAATGGGCCTCTATGTGGACAAGGTGCGTTGCGATGTCTTTGTGCCGATAATCTATGTAGTTTCTAAGTAGTGCCGGTGTATAACGCTACAGTTTGATCACCCGACTGCACTATCAATCTGCTCACGCTCAGGGGACATCACCGAGCCGCTGCTTATGCCGCAATGGTACGTCGATTGTCGCGCCATGGCTCAACGCTCAGCTGATAACGTTCGCATCGGCAAAATGTCTATCGAGCCGAAGTCGCACCAACATACATGGTTTTTCTTTTTGGACAACATCCAAGATTGGTGTGTTAGCCGCCAGCTCTGGTGGGGTCACCGCATCCCGGCGTATCGTTTGAAAGCTGGAGTCACTGGTGCTTCTGAAGGGAGCGATAAGTGGTTCGTTGCAGCATCTGTGGGAGAGGCTCGACAGAAAGCTGAAGTTGAACTAGGGTGCAAGCTGCAGGACGCAGATCTGGAGCAAGATGTGGATGTGCTTGATACTTGGTTCAGCTCGGGTTTACTTCCATTGTCGGCTTTTGTAAGTAGTCGTAGTGGCCGATCTCTAGAAGCGTGATCTAAGAGTTTTATCATTTGTGCATTGACAGGGATGGCCTAACACTGGCAATGATGAAGTAGTCGCGCAGGATTTGAGCTCTAGCTACCCGTTGGATTTAATGGAGACTGGCTCTGATATTTTATTTTTTTGGGTAGCGCGTATGGCAATGTTATGTCAAGAGGTGAGAAAATATTATATAACTCGAACCTGTTGTCACTGTGCTGACATGTCTTTGGTTGTAGTTTTCTGGGCGTGTACCATTCCAAAGAGTGCTGTTGCACCCGATGGTGCGTGACAAGGCTGGCCGGAAGATGTCAAAGAGCTTGGGTAATGTGATCGACCCGCTGCATGTAATAAATGGTATCAGTCTTGATCAGCTACTCTTGGACTTGCAGGTAATCTTACCAAGTACTCTGAAAACTTTCAGTGTAAATCGTGTTTTAAAGTCTAACTGTGCTGGAAAATTGATAAGGGTGGCAACGTCGGGCTGCGCGAAGTAAAAAAAGCGGAAAAGGAGTTAAAGAAAGAGTTTCCGAAGGGTATCCCTACTTGTGGTGCCGACGCATTGCGCTTCACATTGGCCTCGTATCTTCAGCAAGGCCGACAGATTAACATGGACGTGCAGCGTGTCGTGTCATATCGTCACTTTTGCAATAAAGTGTGGAATGCAGTACGCTACGCTCTACCTTTGTTGGACACAACCGACAATGACGATGCAAAGGATGCGAACACATCGACGGACCTTTCCCTTTTGCGTGACGATATGACTCTAGCAGATCGTTGGATCATGAGTCGGCTGGTAAGCTTGGTCATGTCAAGTTGTTATACGCAGAACCAGGTGTGACTGACCATAAATTTGTGTAGGCTGCAGTCGTATCGGAGGTGAATGATGGAATCAGTGCAAATCAGCTTGCAACGAGCGTCGCCGCTATCCAGAAATTTTTCGTGCAGGAGTTATGTGACGTGTACATCGAGTTCAGTAAGCCAGTACTGTATGGAAACCGCTTCGATGAAGATGCGAGTTCTAAACAAGAACAACGTGCGCGAAAACGCAGTGCTCAAGCAACACTTCACCGATGCCTAGACTACTCGATGCGTCTACTGCATCCTTTTACGCCATTCGTTACGGAAGAGTTGTGGCAGCGTATTCGGGATAGCGACCCACTTACTACGTCTTTGTGCAAGCAGGATGTTGAGACCTCCATCTTGTGCTCTGAGTATCCAGAAGAGTCACACATGCGTTCGTGGATCGATGCAGATGCTGAAGAGAAGATGACGGTACGTCATTGCCCAGCAGTTTCTTAAGTGACATATCTGATCTGTAGTGCCTTCGTTTAGCTTGTCATCGACGTGATCCATGGAATTCGCTCGCTACGCCACACCGTGAAAGTTTTGGCTCCAAATGCGTCTCCCTCGGGTGACAGGTGTGCTTTTTTCAAGTTTCCAAGCAACATCTAAATGCAGACGTGGTTGTACTAACCGATCGGTCGTCTTCATGTGTCATATAGCGATATTCCTACTGTTGGCATCGTGTGCTCCAATACAACTGTACTTTCCGAGCTAAAGGATGCACAGCGTGACGTCGAGACACAATGCCGTGTGAATGTCGACATTGCTGTTAGCGACGGCGATTCTTTCTCGCCGCTGGCGTCCCCTCTCGTGCTTACGCACTCTGTGTCGAATTCTTGCCGAGGTTCGTTCCAGCTTCATTATTATGTTCACATGAGTAAGTGTAACACAACTTATGGTGTTGTAGTAATGCTAGCTGTCCCGGACGACACGGAGACGACGCAGCGTGTGGCTAATGAAATCGCGCGTCTAGAGAAACGTAGGTCGAAGAGTGCCTCTGCTGCTAAAGCCCTCATGAACCGTCAGCAGGGACCACACTACGCCGTCAAGGTACCAAAGCCCGTGCAAACCCAAGATGCACAGCGCCTCACACAACTGCAAACTGACCTGAACGCAACGCAAAAGAGTCTAGCTGCATTGCATGAGCTCCAGCGACTTTTCTAAAGCTCAGTGTAAGTCATAAAGACATCAACTTGTCAAGCGTATCACTAATGAAAAACCACGTGATATCTAGCAGCTTCTCGCTTCATTGAGGAATGGAATGCCTTGATATGCACTGTCTTTTAATGCGCTAGCAGCATATCAATCGCCGGCGGACACGGTAGAGGATTATCGTATGTGCTGCTTGACAAACACTTGCATAGACAGTGTTTTTGCCAAGAACGGTAGGGAGTCGAACTTGCTACCTGTCCGATTAATGAATAAGATGACCTGCCCGTGTCAAACAGCTACAATAGACTTAGCGTATTCGTGCAGCAGGGGTCTTCAGCACTGGTACTGTGAGCTGTCAAGCTACCAAAGAGCGCAATTGTTGTGTGAATAGAGCGATGTATTTGCAATTGTCACCGCGTAAGAAGACAAACACCATCATCCAGCAATTCAGCAAAGTCGGCCCTAACACTCTCGTTTGAGGACAAACACCTCTTGTCCTTCATAGCATCTACCTCAGCTACTCGACGAACCATTTAACTTACGATGCTGCCCATGCCATTACGGGCATTTTTTGATTCTGCTGGTCCAGCTCGAGCGAAGCACCAGCCTCTCAATCGAGTTTGAAGTAGAAGCACTGAAAGATACGATGGTCTTCGGTTCTACGGCAAAAGTTCCAGTCTTGATGTGACAATGAAGTCTCATTGTTAAAGACCGACGTCACATATGGGTGGTGTACTCTCACTAGAAATGTACAGTGCTTAGCAGCTTCATGGGCGACTGAAACTGCGTATGTTGGTCACGGAGCAAAGAACGTGATGACAGCTTGCATGAGCAGCTCCACACTTGGGCGTTCAGGTCGAAATGTACCACAACTTACGGCTTAAGTCTTGAAGGACTGGTTGAAATCGCTGGATGTATCCTTGCTGAACAAGAAGGGTCTTAGTGGCATTAGTTTATCGTAGTACATCATAGAACGAGCGTAAGTATCAACCCGCCAATAGCTCGATGGAAGTGAAAGTCTTGTTCAAGCCCAGCGCGACGATAAAATACAGTTGAGTACACGCACGATCACTGCAAAACAAAACGCAAGCGCGTGACTCAAATGTCGTGACCAATCGATTGAATGGCGTCATGGTCATCACACGGGCTTCAGCGACAGTAATCTCAAAGGATGACTTGACTCTAGATGCGCTTTTTGCGCTAACGAAATCGAAAGCAAAGCCAGAAGTGCTGCTTGTCAAGTATGTGTCGACCTCGTCGGTTGGAGTGGATCAGGAAGTCAGGAATAGGCCCATTGATGAACTAACTTATATTTGCTTGTAGGTATAACACGAATACTTCTCTAACATGTTTATCTAGCTTACATTGAGTTTCGCATCAATCTCTAGATGACCACCCTGAGATCCTTTCGGGACCCAAAGAACAAGAGAGCCACCTCCTTTACCAGGAAGACCTAGAAATCCTGGACGCCAACGGTCAAGATACAATGTCTTGCCCCCTAATACTTGAATGCTCGACTTCCACTGGACAGTTTCCCCAGCATTGACAGCCACCTCATCAACTTTGTCTCCACCAGACATGATATTCACGCTCACGTCTTTTTCGTCTGTGCTTGTGAAGTTGATAATGACAATGCCGTCTCCCTTCTTGGTCCAAGAGCTGCTGCTGCCTTTGAAGGCATCCTCCAGTGTATTCAAGCCCAGTGTGGCAGCTTCCGTGCCGTCATCGATCTCGCCCATGAACTGGGTTGGGCCACAAATCGTCTGGATAAACTCTGATAACAGCAACGTGATGCGCGTGGGGTCCATTAACGTTGCAGCGAGAGTGGAGAATCCCATGTCAATTGTCCTGAATGCTCGTTCTTTCTCTTCCAAAGAAGTCCCATTGTCGCTTTTCCCGGACTTTATCAGGTCGTTGATAATAACACCGAAGGTTTTGCGTAAGGTTTCACGAGTTGTGTAGGCAGTCGCCACATTCGATTCAGAAACCATTTGCTGCATGCAGTTGTTGGTCACCGTGGGCACATCGTACTTGACAAGGTTTGAGTCACTAATCTTTAGTCGAATTTCATCGTCCGTGATGCCGGGGACGTCTTCCCTGTACCCGTTCACAGTCAACCAGACTCGTCCAGTCAAGGACATGAGATCGCCTCCACAGCTTGAGTTCTGCTTCATTGCTGTCTCAAGCGATGAGATCTCTCCCTCTGTAATTTCTACTGCAGCTTCAGTAAAGTTGGCTCCCGTGAGGAAAGCCTTGAAGTGTTGCCAATTTGAAATGATACTAGCGTTATTAGCAAGGGCTTGCATTAACACCCACTGCGCCGTAGACAATACATACTGTGACATTCGAAGATTTGATGGCACTGGTTTTCCCATGCAAACGGTAATGGCAATTGGCAAGTCCGTGACGACAGTGCTCGTCTGGTACAGCAAAATGAGCATCTTTCGATCCGAAGCTTGCGGATCTTCTGCCTTCATGGTGCGGATGTATCGGAGAATTCCTCTCATCACCAGCATCATCGAATTGGTGCAACGGACAGCTCTTGAAATCGTCTTACCTAGCTTTGCTAACTCGCCAAACACACCAAATGTTGCACTGCTGAAAACTGTCATAGCTACGGCTGAGACTTTGCTAGTCACTTCAATTCCGCAGTCATCATTTTGTCGGATGCATTCCATGCCGCACTCGACGGGATACTCTACCGGGCATTCCGCCCAACACGTGTTTGTTATCTCGTTTCGATCAAAGTTATCGGGGCAAACGTTCATTATATGAGCTTGGCGGTAGCACGCGGTATCCGGCGACATCTTCCAGGGACCCACCCAGTTGCGATAGGTTGATTTGATAGTACTTATGGCAGCAGCAGATTTCGCGTGGATGTCGGCTGAGGAACTTGTTTCGTCATGTAACGAACTACTTGATGAAGCCGGGGGCTCCGGTTAGTTTGGCGGATGAATCGGGTACGGAATCATCATCGTGGTTCAAAAAGTTCCAGTCAAAGTCAATACTTTCCGTAGTTGTGAAATCAATGAAAGCAATGAGCACAGCTAACGCTATTCGAAGTCGAGTCATAATGTTGTCGACAAGGAGAACGCTCAAATTGAAACGTGATGGGGCTTGTGTGCGATTAATGTAGAATGAGTTGGCTGTGCCGATCGGCTGTATGCCTGTAGCAGAAGGACTTCTGTTGAGTCACCTTGATAGCCTGAAGATTTAAAGTAACAGCTAGTTTCAACGCCATCAGGATGCCATAGCTGGGCTCCTGAACGATAATCTTAGTTACGACTGCGAGTTACGACAGGATGTACTGCCACTGAAACACGAAAGGGTGTTTCAAAAATATTTTGACGGACAGATGTTGGCTATCCCTGTTCCGCTGTCTAGCACAGAATTCTGTGTCGTATGGATGTAGAAGATCGGTGACAAGCCAATCCACGACGTGAACTAATGCTGAAGTTACTACCGAATGTTTCAACCACATGAAATACTTGGCAGACATAAACAATTTGAACGAACAGCCGACTGAGTTGCAAGAGCAGCTTCTTTGTGGGCAGCTCAAACCCGTTGCGTTATCGTCGATGGAACACCAATTGCAAAAGATTCATCTTAGTGACAAAGTGATGGAGCCGTTATTGGGATATTTGTACTTACAATTGAAACTTACCTGTCCTCCTGTGACCGATAGGGCGATGTACTATCTACACGCGTGTAGGTAGTCAAAGCAAGTTATAAGCTCACAAAACATACAACTTGGCTGACAGCGAACCACCATCCGGTAATCCCAAATCGCTCAAAAATATCACTATGACGCTTTGATATACATATATAACCACTGCAGCTTTTTAGTTGACGTTACATGTAAGCCGTGGCAGCATACTAATTCATTAGATTGGAGTTGAGGCTTGACATATGAATACATGCCAAAAATAAGCCATGAACATGCTCAGGACGAAGAAACGATGATATAGCATTCATATCTTTTTCTTGAAGTTTTGAGCTGACTTAATCATACGGGCAGGTCACGTCTGAACATTTATAGTTCGAAGCTTCAGCAACTACACCTTCTGCGCAACATTTGCACATCTTTAGCCACGGCCCTTCGTACACCGTCTGGTCTCACCGTCTTCCACATCCTTGGCTTTTAGATTACCACATACTTCGTCTTTCAGCAACACGTGCTCAACAGCCGACCAAGTGGTTTTTACCAGGTTAAATGTAGCAGAAGAATACTACCTAGCGTATACACTCATGAATGTCACTTTCGTATTTTCCTTCACCTCGAACGTCGACTAACAACACAATAGGCCTCGCCTGAAAAACGACAGCGGTCGTCATACAATTCTTCAGGTTATGAGCCCAAACAATGCCGCTCCGACGACTTGCTCACGAAAGAAATTAATTTCCATTGGGAGTATAATGTCCGCATGGTGTCAGCGAAGAAGGGTCTGCTTGACAATGTGCTGTTCAAGCAAGACGCAGTCATTAATGAGTACGGACAACCAATCAGCCGGAAAAGCCTTGCGTGGAGGACTGCTGACACGAAGGTCCAGGCGACAATTGCAAAGTCGGTCAGCGTTAACTACCAAGCAATAATTCGGGACGAAATGTCTGCACGTGGAATGAGGGAGGTGCTCGAGGGGTTCTTGTATTGACGAACGATCCACAACCGCGTCGCGCTGAACCAGAAGAAAACTGAGTTTAAGCTAGCCAATAGTGGGAATTTACTTGGTAAACCTTGCACGATTCAAACACTTATGCACGGCCAAGCTTCTGCTGGCGACCCAATTTATGAGCAGCGACCACTCGTTGTCTTACTAGGTATTCTCCCGAGAGGATACCACGCGATGATCAAGATCGACGATAATTATGCTAGGGTCACAATGTTGCAAGCTGCAGAGATTGTAGCGGAGCTACGTATGTAGGCAAGAGCTGAATAAGCTGCCACGTCCTACTGGCAGATACCTTCAAGCACAAGCAAGGAAGCGATTAAATCGTCTTACCTCCGTGTGTGG